ACGAAACTTTAGCGACACAAGTCCTTTCTTAATAAAACTATTTTATTCTTTCCGAATACAACTTTACGATACACTTAATTTCAACAGTCGCTCTATAACAACACTATAATTCACGTCTCACGAGGCCAACAATATTTTGTCCGCATACATTCAATTACTCATTACATTGTCGTCCCGTCACGCTGTGACCATCTTATATATACCAGACTACCCCCAATCTAGTAATCTCCCGATAATTCCCGAAGGTTCGAGATAATGAGTGGCGTGATACTAGTCACGTGACCTCGCTGACGCAACAGTATTATTACTTCAAAAGTTTCGCTTAAAACTTAAAAAGTAAGTGCTAGGAGTAAGAACATGATGCTGTTTTGTTTACTTCAGTTTAAAAAAATTGTATGCGAAATCCCGATTTTCCACTGTTTAAATAGTTAAAAAAATTTATGTCAACTTATAAATTAGATCTACTTACTTGACTTACTCTGCATCTGTTTCAAGGTCGAGGATTAGAATGTGTTGGCTTCAATTTTAGCCCGTTATTGTTATTTCCAAATTATATTCTCCGATTCCATTGCACTCCAGTCTCCAGTGCCTTCTATACTTAAGTTACGGAGATGCTCAACGTAAAAAAACTAAAGAATTTCAATAGTACTGCTACAACATACGCTGTAACTTGTGAGTTCCTTTGTTATTGTTAACACAAACCGTAGCCCAAATCTCAGGATAGGTGCAAGTTGTATTTTTCATATATTTTTTCAATATAACACCACAGCAGTTGTTACGGAAAAAATAATTTCGTCAAACTCAAAGAATAAGCCTACATTTTATATGACTTCAGCTTTCAAATTTTAAACGTGTCACCAGTAATACTCATGTCTGTATTTCCAGCGTTTTCATTTTACCACATGCAAGTTACAGGAAGACTGAGCTTCTAGTTCTAACAATTTTGAACACTTTAATTAGACTATCTGTTGGTCCATATAGGCTATCCACTAAGCTAAACTCAAAAATAAAACAGGCAAAGCTAGCCATTTTCATTCAATTTCAAGTTGCAAATTTATGAGGCAATATGGGAAAAACTGCACATTAAAAGGCACCCTACAAAGTCATTTTTATTATTATTTTAAAATAACCTGTTAAAAATAGCCCAAAATATTTACACATGACTCACTACTTACTTTGGCTATATTTATCCAAGTAGCCCAATTTTGTGGAAAAATCAAACTCACTGGCAACACTGCTGTAGATAACATCCTAAAATATTGTTTGTCACACTACTAGCAACTACATTGGTTTATTACTCTTGTCTCCTTGTTCTTTTGTGATAGTGTGTTTATTTGTAGATACTTACTTGTAGAAGTAATATGGTGGAATGGATGGAATTCCTTCTTGGGTTAAATGATACCAGTTTTAAGAAATTTTAGCTATGAAACGAGGCTTAAAGACATAACCTTTTTTCTTTAGTAGAACAGAAAAAGAACTAGAGATACATTTATTAAAGTTTATATAAATATCTCATGGAATGTGTATTTTCATGCTAAAATTCGAAAATTACTTGGATTAAAGAGGGATTGACATTTTAAAAGTAATAAGTATAAAACTTAAAAGTCAAGATTAAGTTTTATTTTTAGCAAACTACTTTTAGAGTTATGAACTTTTTGATTGGTTTATCTTATAGTGTGGCATATTCTTTTAGCTTCATTTTTTTGCAGGTGTATGTTGGATGAGTGTACCGATGTGAAAGGTAATATTTAACTAGAGTTGATGATCTTTGTTCACCATGTTGAAAGATGACCTCAGTTGACAGAATGTCTGTTTTTGTTCATAATTATTATTTTCACTGTAAGCATTTATTGAAGGTACAAAAATGACCAAATCTTATTAATGTTACATAGTGTGAACATGTTGTAGTGCATATAGAAAAAGAAAATCACATAAACATATTCCTAAAAAATTATAAGTAGTTTTTTTTAATTTTCAGGTAGTAGGAAAAGTTAAGAATCTCATATTTAAATATAAACATGTCAGGAACAACAGAAGTATTATCCCCAAGAGGTAAGTTTTATTTACTTAAAATTGAAGCTTTTATTTTTATCTTGAACCATCTAAGTACATGTTACACTAGTATGATAGCTAAGAAAAATTATATATATTTTCTTCTGGTTTAATATTTCAAGCAAATAATAATGCTGTTATGA